CACACACACACACACGCTCCCTTAACAAAATACTGGATCCGTCAGTGCGTTAGGATCTGTGCTTAAATGTCTGCCACAGTTTTAATACCTGTCACTTGTTTTAATCCTTGACATAGTTCTTCTCTAAGTGCATGAATCGGGTTAATAATGGTCACAGTGAAGGTTTTGATTCAGACGTACTGCAATGGGCATAGTGAACGTTTTTATTCAGTTTTCAGTACTCAATAGTTAAGTCTGCAGTGAAAGATGTATGATTTTTAGACAAATATTATTTGGATGCCAACAGCAGGAGGTCGATTATTGAGAATGATCAATAATTGAGAGATGGCAAATATTTACAAAAAGAAAAAAAAATGCGTGGATATTGTAGTTGTAATTAATAATGGAGGAGCGAAACTACATGTCACTCATCAGATATTTATTTGTATAAATTTCTAAAGGCATTTCACTTATGGACATTGGCGTGAATATGCCGACATTTCTGCAACACACCTTATTGTATATGTATCACACGCAGTCAATAAACTATCTGACAATGCTAACAACAAATTTATACACAGCGTCGCCAAAGACGACTCTTTTACTAAGTGCTTTGGCAGCCTTCTCAAAGTCGAATATGGTGACGCTTTTCATTCCTTTCAGTGTCCTTTCTTCGATCACTCGTTTGATCACGAATAGAATGTCTCTCTTCCGCACCCCGACGCTGTTACGTCGGCCAAAGTACCCAGAGAATTCCACAGTGACTTTCCGATGGGGTGTCTTCACCAATACTTTCTCGGCATGTTTGACCTTGCTGAGGGGAAGGGAACTGAAAGCACAATAGTTAGATTTTTGGTTAGTCTGCTGATCACTTTCATTAGTTTTAGTGTATCGAATAAAGCGTTTTTAACTGACACAATTTCCAGTGCAGCATCTTTACCGTTTATTCACTTGCTTGTTTATTTCTTCTATTTCTCGGTTTCAAAGTTTTTTATTTTGTTTGCTTTTGTCATCCTGAACTTTCCAAAGAAAATGTACTTCTTTCAATCCCTTTTTATCTTCATGAAAATGTCAAAAAGTATATATTTAATCAGTATGAACTGTTCGATTGACTTTTCAGATTAAAAAAATAAAACAGTAAGATAAGATGGCTAAAATGCTTTAACAAAAAGAAAAGCCTAAATTAAATTAGCAGCATGTAGTTAATTAGATAGTAAAGATACATTAAAATCATGTTACCTGGGGAGATGCAGTGCCCGTTTGTTTTCATCAAAATTAGGCTCCGCATCTGCAAGTGAAATTTTTTCCATGATTATCAGAACTATGAAATGAAAACAACATATACATGTTCAATTTTATACAGTTGAGAGGTCGATTCTGCTTATTTTGTTCTGATTCAATAGAGAGTTTAATTGTTAAAAAAAAGGTGCACTTGATTCTTAAAGCGCTGTTGATTTCACCTCCCTGTTTTTATTTCAGTAAAGAACTGTAAAATGATCCCAACTATATCTTATTTACGTTAGACACACCTGGACTCGTCTTGGTGTCGATTTGCAAATCTGAATACTGGCATATCAAACAATTTAATCTGAAGTTCATCATATGTCGCTGTGAAGTAGAAATCACAGGTGTACACCCTGACAATAGTGAAATCAAATACAGAAAAAGAAATAATCATATCAGGTATTACGGTTACCTTGTGTCTCCTGATACCCCGCTGTTAGCCCACAGATTACCAGGAAAGTGACAAGTCTGTAATAAACATACGGAGAGGATTTATTTCTGTGTAGACCATATGTAGTACATGTAGTACATTGCAACTTCGAAAATTTCGGAAAACAGATCAGTAAAGTATTAGAGCGGAAATATTCGATTAAATACTTCTTGATTTAACCATAAAGTAATATAAAGCACTTTTATCTCAATAGTCGCTCTGTGGTTAAATAAACCAAGCAGTATTTACATTTTGTCTCTTTTTTAGATTTATATGAATGCCGTGAAATAACCTTATCCAATACAAGAAATGCAGGATTTCGTTCTTTCTTTTTTCTTTTTTTCTTGTTTTGTATATCACAAACCTAAAAACTTTAACTCAAAACGTATTGTAATTATGCGCACCTGAACATCTCCCTTGTTGACATGTTTTTATTCCTTTAAAGAAGACTTCTCTCACCGCATGTATGAGCAATATGTTTGCTCTGATAACAGGTAGACTGGGAACTGGTTGAGGGGCTTATATACCCCCTCCCTCACGTGATCTGGGGTCGTTTCATGAAAGAAATTTGGTCAAAAAGTTTGTTTTAACTTTAATACACAAATTTGGAACTCTTCTTTTAAGAAATATCAATCATAACCGGCTTGGAGAAAGTAAGTTTATTTGTAGGTCTATTGGTCTGAAACGATGACCGTGTATTTGTTATGTTTTATTTTATGAACTACTACCGACTTCTAGACCTATCGGTCTGAAAGTGGAGGTTATGGCGGTTTCTTTTTTTTTTTTCTTTTGAAACGCCCCAGTCACCTACTCACTGTCAGCATATCTAATGACATGTGAGTTTTTTCTAATCACAATTCTAAGAAATCACTGCGTATATATACACGGTGACTTTCTCCCTTCTAAATCTAATATATGCTTCATGTATATACATACATGTACTACATGTATATGAACAGGCCCATGCTCCAAATTGGGAAAATATTAGCCTATTATCATTAGAAATAAAAATTGGATAACGTTTATAGACTATATGTAAGCAGTCAACATCTTATTCAGCGCTGCGTATTTAATTCTTATATAAGCGTTTTTTTTTTTTTTCAGTTAGTGGCTTATAACGAGACAATAAGGAACGAGATTTTAATCGTGTTCGTAAGTAATTTGACCTTTTTGTTTACACGAAATTCGATCTATCAAGGTAGTCAGAGCGAAGATATGCATACAGTACTTTGATAGTGTAAGGTGGACTGTCTCCGACGTCAAATAGTTCACCTACATAAAAATGCCATATATATCGACATTTATACTGGACAGCGTGTATTCATATGATATTTTAATATAAAAGGTTCGAGAAAGACCCTATCTAGCTTGTGAATATTTAAAAGGCGTAAGGTTGTCTCTGATTTTTTTAGCTTTATTTTACATTTCCAAGACATTTAACTGAAGTTGTCGACTACAGAGCTGAGTCGTCTTGTAGACTCAATAATGTTAAGGTCCACTAAATGCATGAGATGAAATCACTCATTTACATATTATGTTTATACAATCAGCCAGCATATTATCATTCACCTTGCTTATGTCTTGAATGAATATTTATCATCCTCTGTATAGGTATACCTGATAAGTAGAACTGATATAACTTAAAAGTAGAAGCCCTCATTTGTTATCTATTGTATTGTAATTAGTATTTAAATGAGTTGCTGCCACTGTGGCATGCAGATAGATTCTCTGGAGATAATGTGTATAAAGGCTGAATGCTTGGACTTAATAAAGGACTTTTAGACTTGGAACTGAATATGTGAGTCTGTGGTTATATTCCCTCTCCCATGCATCAGTGACAGGTAAAATATTAGAAGAACCTGGGTAGGGTGGAACGTGGACCCCTACTTAATGGCGAGCTCGACCAGGGTCACTGCGGGGGAGGGATATAGCTATGGATATAGCTATGGATCCAACTTTGAAGATGAGTATGTGTATGGAGATGATGACTGGGATTCTGAAAAGGACTATAACATTAATGGCAGACTGGTAGAATGCCTGTCCAATCTAGCCGACTTGTTACAAAGACAATATGGCTGTTTAGACCAGCAAAATAATGACATTTCTGCAGAGTCTGAAATACAACCAGAGGAAGAAGTTAAAGATAGAAACCAAAGCAAAGTAAATGGACCATCAGAAATGGAGAAGTGAACTGAAGTCGAGACATTGAGTACTGCTAAAGAAGATGAATGTATGCTGGAGTTTGTGAAGGAACAAGTTGTAGGTGAAGAAAATGATGGGAATGAACTGAGCGAGGACATTATTTTTGTAAATGATCAAGAGGTAGGACAGAGAACTGATTTCAAAAAAGGGGAGAAACATAAAGTGTCTGTCGAGAAAGATTATGAACAAGAGCTACGGAAGAAAACTGATGATGATGATGACAACAGATTAAGTGAGAGTAAAATGGTTGAACTGAAGTATGATGAGAAACTTGCTGTAGATGATAATGTTTTAACAGATAATGTGAAGAGTGCTGATGAAGGACTTGATAATGATGACCCACAGTTTGAGGAGAAACATGATGTAGATGAAAAGGCTGTGACAGATTTTGAAAATTATGCTCAAGAAGGACTTACTGACGAACGGATGGGGATGGACTTTTCTAACTTTAAAGATACAGACAGAGACAAACTTACTGAAGTAGAGATGAAACAAAGTGCAGGTGAGGTGGTTAAAGTTGTAGAGAATGAAGACAAACAAGGCTCAGACACAGAAAAAGTTTGTGAGAACACAAAAGAATGGACAGGTGTAAAATGGGACTTTAACAGAGACAACAAAAAGGTGCAGAGAAAGTTTATGGCAAAGAAACTAAAATGGACACTTCTTCCACACTGCAAATTAAGATATGTTTTTTTATTCAGTTAAAGGATAATACATCAGTTAGAGCTGTACTGTAGGTTCGAAAAAATGAGATTTATAGATATTTTACACTTGGCTCAGTATTTGATATTCTTGTTTCAATGTTTTAAGTAAAATTGCACCAAATAATTCATGACTTACATATATTTGAAAATAATAACATAAATTGTGTTTACAGATAAGGTTAAATTGAATTATAAAGAATATGTGACAGTAGTTTTTTTTTATTCAAAAATGGTAAATTTCCAACATGTGGGGAGATTCCCAAGATATGTATTATAGAAGGTAAAAATATAGTTTCATGATATACCTGATACTGAATTGTTTAACTGATGAAATTTTAAATGTACCGTCCATTAGAAAGCTGTTTGAACAATCTGTATTACAACTGGACATTTATCTCTGTCAAAATATTTTGGCAGCATGAAAATTCAAATTTAATTTCATTAGAATAATGACATGTCTTTGTACAGCAATGGAATGGATAATGAACTGAATTAATTACAATTGTTAGTTAAAGTAATGATATTTGACAGAATAATATTTTTTGTAGTTGAATCATGACATAGATATTTTGTATAAGTATTTAGCTGTTTAAATTTTATCTTTGAGTATTCTGTGGAATCTTTATTTCAAAAAATTATGTAACCATAATTTTTTTTTTTTTTGTGGGAAAAGAAGGAATATGTTAAGGTCCACTAAATGCATGAGATGAAATCACTCATTTACATATTATGTTTATACAATCAGCCAGCATATTATCATTCACCTTGCTTATGTCTTGAATGAATATTTATCATCCTCTGTATAGGTATACCTGATAAGTAGAACTGATATAACTTAAAAGTAGAAGCCCTCATTTGTTATCTATTGCATTGCAATTAGTATTTAAATGAGTTGCTGCCACTGTGGCATGCAGATAGATTCTCTGGAGATAATGTGTATAAAGGCTGAATGCTTGGACTTAATAAAGGACTTTTAGACTTGGAACTGAATATGTGAGTCTGTGGTTATATTCCCTCTCCCATGCATCAGTGACAGGTAAAATATTAGAAGAACCTGGGTAGGGTGGAACGTGGACCCCTACAATAAGCCGATATAGACACCCCAAAACAAACTAGTGACGAGAAAAACGAGATTCCGTACATAAAACTAGGCCTGATTAAACATCGAAGCATACAGGGTCCAAGCCGATACCCCGAGGTCCTTGTATACGTAGGCACGCTGTCCTCTACTTATAACATGTCGACCTATATCCACTGCATCAATGCAGGCGTTTGTCCCCGCACCCCTACTAATTATATTTACTGATCTTATATTATCTCTTACAGCTATTGGTTCATATGGTTGTTTGTTCAGATCCCCCTATAGTACCAGATACACTGGTTAAAGCCAGATAAGGAACAGTCGCAAGGTGGCAGCTTCTGCCCATATCATATGACCGGCTCACACCATGGCTCTTAAGCTGAGCTACCGGTCTCCTACAGGAAGAGGGTTTTCAACTTCACGTTACTTTTGTTTAAGGAGTAGGTTAGCGGTCATACCTGACATATGTATAACGTCAGATGACTCTTATTTTGTTGTTGTTGAGCTCAATGGGCACGGTATGCGCAGGACGTAATGTGACCGATTTTGAAGCGAATAGTTTTGCAGATTTCTATTAATTTATCTTTCACTCGTACAATTAAGCTACACACTATTTCCATTGTTCGCGCAAGCTTTGGGCATATTTAGTGTAGATACTCAGAGTATGCAACTGGTGTTTGAAATGAAAAAAAAAAAAAAAAATTCAATAATTTGGCGAAAGATAAACGGTCACTTTGCACGATAATAACTTTAATATACATATTTTTTTCGTTTGCACTGTCGTCCGTTTATACGTCTGTTCATGTAGTGATCTTTGATTGTGAATCAGTAATATTCCAAAGATGTTTACTGCCAGAAGATATTATTATTATTCCCGACAGGTATAAAATGAACTCAACGATAGACGACATTTTTCCCCTAACTTTCGTTTATCAAACCACCAAGTTAAAAAGCAGTGTGGTTTGACTGTGTCTACCGGTTATCAAACCACATTAAACCTTAACTTCCATTAAAAATTTTTAAACATTTTTCTGATTCGTTTTATTTCAGCACTAAGAAGCAAAAGCAACAGCAATGTAATATAACTCAACAAACTTAATTACTAACTTGGACTACATAAAGCACATAACATACCATGGGTTTAAGTTGTAATTTAGGGGACCATTCCTACATAGTTTTGGATCGATCTGTTTCCCTTGGGGTGTCTCACTAAATTGCGATCAACTTAACTGGCTTAAATGTCTGTCACGCCTAGTAAAGCTGTTAGGGGGTAATTATCTTTACACTAGCTGATTCGGTAGGCGTGACAGACAGTTAAGCCTCAAGTTGAGCTCGTAGCAACTTAACGCGATCCACCAGGAAGTTAGGTCGATCCAGATGGATCGATATAAGTATAGGAACCCAATTTAGGACATACCATTGTGGAATTTGAGATACGAGGTGATAATATACATGTACGTATATTGCATGTACCAGTACATTAGTAGAACTCGCACTTTTCACAAACACACTGAAAAGGATTTTAAGTTATGGTTTGGAACCATGACTTATGAAGTGATGACATACTATAAACTTGGTAACTCTCTAGCTTGTCTCATATAGATAAAAAAAAAGAACTTGCACGATTAAACAAATTTATGGTTTCGAACCATGATGTGTAAAGAGTGGGAACTCTATAGCAAAGGACTCAAACATTATTAAACAAATTTATTGTTTAGAACCATGATATATTAAGATATACTACATGACATACTACTGTATATAGTAAATCTATAGCATTTCACATTAAAAAGGAATGGCTTACAACATTTGAATCGTATCCTAAAAATATATTATACATAAGTAAGATATATATTTAAATATTAAAATATATTGCGTTTTCGACTAGTCAGTGTGTATACATTTACCCTCGTCAATATAACCTTTTTTGATAAAACATTACACAACTTTCTCACCAAAAACAAAACTGACCACAAACAAACATACGAGCAGACCATTTGTGATCCACATGTAATGTCCAGTATACAGTGGTATGCAACGGCAAAACAATTATATATTAATAAATAAACAAAACAAAAACCCCACTGTGTAGAATTGAAGCTACATGTATAAACCCCAAGGGGATCGAAGGATTTAATTGTACTACTACACTACAGGTAAGCATGATTACATGTCACACACAAAACATTCGCTTATATTAAAGATGTATTAATATATTGCGTTTTCCGCAAAAATAATAGTTCCCATATATATATATATATATATATATATATATAATGTTGATCAACACTGCTATAATTTATAGTATAATGTTTGTAGTGTGAACCCGATGGTTGTTCCATACACTGATATCTCACTAACACAACGAGAGAAAAAAAACTCAAGAACTACCCTATATCTGGGCTTAAAAAATTTCTTAGTAAACATCTAACCAGCATGTTGAATAGGCAATAAAGCATTATTACAGCAGAAGAATTAAAGCCCTCATATTAAGGGCAACATGGTAGATTTTGTGGCATACTTTATGCATAAATTTTGATACTAAGGCTAGAAAAGAAAGCATTATAAACGATACCGTTACAAACAGAAAATACTAATACAGGGGCTCATCCAGAATTATTTATAGGGGTCGGGGTCCGCAGATGCAAAGCTGACCCTCACCCCCTACTTGGCAAGGGTTCTGGGCCCGCTGAAGTACCCTGAAAACTTTTGGTACTTTAGAGGGCGCATGGTGCCATTTGGTACGACATAGAACTACGATTCAGCTAGTCAAAATTCTACTTTCAAGAGGGGAACGTTGGTTTGATTTTTTTCAGAAATCGAAGAGGACGGGAGGGTAGGAGCCCACCCTTCTAAATCCGCCACTGTGATATATTCTTAAATAACATTATAAACCTGCCTAACGGCTACCACAGACGGTGCTACATATAAGGCTTATGCTTAGTGGGAAGAGAGCAACAATGACGAAAAACAAGTTTTGGAATTATAGGATAAGGAAGAGTGCAAAACAGCAATCATTTAATTTTTGCAGTAAATATATGTGCATGGCCTAGAATAAACAATACGCTGATATTCCACGAGAAATTAATGTTGAAAGTAAAATACATGTACGTACAGTAGTTCTTGAGGTGACGCAAGATGTTTCAAAACTGTCAAAATCATAATCAGTTTTTAAAAGTTTAATCAACTGTATCAACCAATACGGTGCAAGGGTCCCACAAATACTACCTTCACTGTAGTCGAAGTTTGCCTGTCAACACTGTGATTTGGTCTCGTTGAAACTCGATTTCTTCCTGTGCATTCTGAAGCGCGATTTGCAGCTCTCCGTTCGTCGGAGACTTTTTTGATCCTGTTGTAGCACAAAGAAGCAAAATTTCAATACAAAGTACGAAGGAGATCTCAAAAACATTTGTTTTTCGCCAATGGTGTATATAAGCAGTGGTTTCGACAATAGAATTCTCCTTATCCATCATATTACCTTATAGTAATTTTACCAAGTAAAATGTGAGCAGAATATTGGGAATTACAATTATAGATACAAAGGCGTACAAATGACCTTGCGTCTGCCTAGATACCGATTAAGGCTATACTTCTGTGAATGTATTTAAGAGTTCGGAATCACAAATTATTAACAATGCGTGTATAAATCAAAATATAAATACCTTTAACTGCTTCGGTTAACTTTGGAATCAATTCTTGGTGCTTGGCTGAAATGCATTTTATGCCTTTGAAAGGAGAAGGGATTTGCTGCGGAGAGAAATCAATTAGAACTGGAATAACTGGGTTTTCTCTTGACTCCACCGCTTTATGAATGGCAAGCTCTCTTTCCCTTGTACACCACTGGCTCTTCATGAAATTTGTGGACAGGAACACAATGGTGCACGTTGATTCATCAACCGCTTCTTCAATAGAAGTTGAAAGCGACTTTCCTAGGTGAAAGTCACGTCTGCCAATGCAACACCTGACTCCCTGTTTTTCTAGCTGCTCTACCACAGGTTCTACGACGCCCTTGTCTTCACCACTGTGTGCAATGAATGCGTCGTAGCGGAGGTTATTCAGTGAAGAGCTGAAGAATGGAAACAGTTGCTTCAATCAGATAAATTCCAACCGTATACTAGTATGACATTTAAGCTTCAGCCAACACTGATTGCAAAATAAAATGAATCGGATTACCGAATAAAATAAAACAATGACATACAAGAAAAGAGGACAATAACATTTCGACACCTTTCAAATCGGTTCATATGACAGTTACCTCGTAACTTGCGGAATACGGGTTGTTGAACTTTGTGTGAACATGTACTTCGCAGTGGTCAGGGTTCTACAGAGTGCCTCAAATTCATCGGGGGGCATGTTTGTAATGTTTATCACCATCTCAGCATAATACTCTACTGCCGCACCTGTTACGGAAGAAATTAAGTAGACCTTAAATATAGTGAGATGTGGAAACAGGTTCCGATGTGTTTTTCAAATTCAGTCAGTTAATGAACACATTTTAGAACACGCTATTAGTCATTTTAGTGTACATGATACATGCAACAACGAGCATCATTCGGTGGAGTTATAGCCAAGTATATATAAAAACATTTGTACATTAGTTCACTGCCATCATTGTAGACATATCTTGGTTATATATTTCACATTTCTTCACTACACGAAAAATACAAAGAAAAAAGTAAACAAGACAAAAATTCCTTAAAACAACCACACATCCATGGATGTATAGGTATACTCTTTTCACTATGTTTTATCTCCACCCTTGTACCAGTTGGATTTCTGTTGCATCGATTTTACTGAACAAGATAAAACTTTTTAATGTATCGAAATAATAAGCTAACATAAATAGATTACTTACTGGACAGCCGCAGAAAGTTTGCAGCCAGTAGTCCAACTTTAATATCTTTAATAGTGGTATAATTGTTCATGGCGACCCAATCTTTCAATCCTTGAATTTTTTGCAATTGAAAGACTTCAGGAAATTTCGAGTCCAAGTTGGTCAGGTTAAATATGAGATATTCTTTAGGGTCTAAAATTTCTGCAAGGTGCTCCAGAGTCCTGGTTTGAATGTACATCTGTAAAGATGAAATCAACAAGACTACCTTGTATTTTACAGGAACATGGTGTAAGGTAAAAACAGCTGCATGTAATGTTTCATATATCAAGACACCCATGTGCGGTTATGCCAATAAATTAAGCCCCTAACGATCTGTATTCTGGGGCTCTGCATAACTATACTAACATGTATATTCCTTGTATATAAATTCATGCATCAAATGTTCCCATGATATATCTTTCAAGGAATGGAACACGTGACGTTCAAAAAGACTAATAAAATTATATGCACGGTATAAGCTTACAAAATAGTAACTAAAATGATTCTGAATATGAAAATTATTTTAACTATTAAAGCTCAATGCATCATAATCCAATATGCGTTTAACACTTCCACGCTGGTACATATACCTGTATATCATGTATTTCAAAACGCCTCAGCAGTTCAACTACGGCAGTGCACTTTTCTTCTTCTGCCAACATTCTTGGTGTCTTTTTCTTCTGCGATATATATAAAGAAATTATTATGAACTATAGGGGACAAAATTGAAACCGCTTTATACAGACCGGTGAAAAGTGTTTTCCAGCACTCCCCTAATTTTAAAGATACACCATCCTTGTACATACCTAGAGATGTTACGGTATGTGACCATGGTAATATACTGCTTATTTGCCCTAAAGTGTGTTTCAGAGTGAAATGCCAGGTCTTTCTCTCAATGTCACATAATATGCTGCGACTTTAATGAGGTGTTTTGGCATATATTACTAGGATGACAATGTGTTATCTCACATACATACCATTCAGATTAAATACATATGCATGACTTACAGTATGTTGCCAAAATACTTGAACATGAAATGCTTTTTCACGTACATCAATACAAGTAATGAACTACAGACTAAAGAATAATGCGATAAAGAAATAATTGTTTTATGTGACTCGAGAAAATAAAGCGGAGCAACGTTATAATATATATTTCGACAATTCTACACTCACTTCATCCTGTATACTTGTATCCGCCCCGTGTTGGAGGAGAAGCTGGACACATTGTGTGTGGCCGTGATCTGCAGCCCAGTGAAGTGGTGTCCTCCCATCCTGTGGATATGTACAAACAATGCGATTATACATATATTCCAAGTGCAGTAGAAAAAAGTATCGGGTTTTGATGGCTTAACTTAAAAATTTTATTTCATATTTGCACTTGGTAATTGTATTAAAATCTGGCAGCCCAGTGAAGTGGCGTCCTCTTGTAAAACTGTGGATATGTACAAAGTATATGATAAAACATATATTTCAAATGCAGTAAAAAAAGTTTCGGGTTTGATAATAAGGCTTAACTGAAAAAATAAATAAATAAAATAACCAATCAAATCGGGCTATGTGACTGACATGTTCCATCTTTTTCTACTGCGAAAACAATTCTACACTTGTTGACTGTTAAAGAAATTATTATTCCCTTTCCTTTTACTCATTTGATTATTCTTCAATTATAACTGGCAATTAGTGAAAGTGTATTTCATTTACTTTACAACGTAACAACTAAACAAAAGTTTTCCCAAGAGGAAAAATATTCCAAAGAACAAATGTTATAAAAAGTTAAGGAACACGAAGCGGATAAAAGGATCATACACATGTATTTTGGATATTTTAATTTTTAATGTTTTAAAATAATATAAAATATTTATCAGAAACATTAAATATTCATTTTTTATGCTTTCAATAATTCCATTAGTTTCTTAAACTGGGCGTGTTACGTGTTATATTCTTGAAAGTGTGGTGATATTTACATTAGTTACATGAGTTAAATATAATTTTTAAAAAACTGATCGGTGCCGAGTTAACATTAGGTTTGGCTTCTTTACAGAGGCTGTATTAACAGCTAGCCCAGTGTTACAGTAGATAAATAAAATAATAATTTCAATTTGTCAATTCTATGTAAAATATTGAAAGAAATCATGGATATTTAATCTTATTTAAACTTTGTACTTCTATATTCAAAATCACGCTTCACACGTAATAATACTTAACTAGTAGAACTACTGAAGACATTATGCCCTGTTCTATTTCAAGATGTGCTTTATGTTGAATTATTCATAAATGTGTGTGTGGCCGCAGTGTGCAGCCATGTGAAGTGGTGTCATCCTCCACTGTGGATAAGTAGAAACAATCTGATTAAACACATATATTTCAAGTGCAGTAGAAAAGAGTATTGGGTTTGATGACAAAGCTTAACTGAACAAAATGATCGGTGCTGTGTTAATATTAAATTTGGCATCTGTATTGAGCCTGTATTAACAGCTCAGTGATGCAGTGGATTAATAAAATCATCATTTCAAGTTGTCAATTCTATGTAAAATATTGAACGAAATAATGGATATTAAATGAAATAACTTTATTTGTACTTCTTTATTTAACATCACACTTCACACGTAATTATACTTAACTAGTTGAACTACTGAAAACATTATGCCGTGTTCTATTTTACAATGTGCTTTATGTTGATCTATTCATAAATTAAAAGAGACTTGGTCAAGAGAATGTAAACCACAATAATGTTTCTTGTCACAGCTTAAGGAAAAAGGAAGATGTACGTAAATGTTGCCATACTGCTGTCTTCTGACTATTCTACACTCACATAATCACGTTTACTGGTATCCGCCCCGTGTTGGAGGAGAAGCTGGACACATTGTGTGTGGCCGCCACTGGCAGCCAAGTGAAGTGGTGTCTTCCGCCACTGTGGATATGTACAAACAATGTGATTAAACATATATATTTCAAGTGCCGTAGAAAAATGTATTGGGTTTGATGACAAAGCTTAACTGAACAAAATGATCGGTGCTGTGTTAATATTAAATTTGGCATCTGTATTGGGTCTGTATTAACAGCTCAGTGATGCAGTGGATTAATAAAATCATCATTTCAAGTTGTCAATTCTATGTAAAATATTGAACGAAATAATGGATATTAAATGAAATAACTTTGTTTGTACTTCTATATTTAACATCACACTTCACACGTAATTATACTTAACTAGTTGAACTACTGAAAACATTATGCCGTGTTCTATTTTACAATGTGCTTTATGTTGATTTATTCGTAAATGAGAAGAGACTTGGTCAAGAGAATGTAAACCACAATAATGTTTCTTGTCACAGCTTAAGGAAAAAGGAAGATGTACGTAAATGTTGCCATACTGCTGTGTTCTGACCATTCTACACTCACACAAGCACTTATACTGGTATCCGCCCCGTGTTGGAGGAGAAGCTGGACACATTGTGTGTGGACGTGAAATGCAGCCAAGTGAAGTGGTGTCATCTCAACCTGTGGATATGTACAAACAATGTGATTAAACACATATATATATTTCAATTGCAGTAGAAAAAAGTATCGGGTTTTGATGATATGGGTTAACTGAACAAAATGATCGGTGCTGTGTTAATATTAAATTTGGCCTCTGTATTGGGTCTGTATTAACAGCTCAGTGATGCAGTGGATTAATAGAATCATCATTTCAAGTTGTCAATTCTATGTAAAATATTGAAAGAAATAATGGATATTAAATGAAATAACTTTGTTTGTACTTCTATATTTAACATCACACTTCACACGTAATAATACTTAACTAGTTGAACTACTGAAAACATTATGCCGTGTTCTAATTTACAATGTGCTTTATGTTGATTTATTCATAAATGAGAAAAAGACTTGGTCAATAGAATATAAACCACATTAATGTTTCTTCTCACAACTTAAGGAAAAATGACAATGTGCATAAATGTATAGCCATACTGCTGTGTTCTGACTATTCTACACTCACCCCATCATGTATATTGGCATCCGCCCCGTGTTGGAGGAGAAGCTGGACACATTGTGTGTGGCCGTGATCTGCAGCCAAGTGAAGTGGTGTCTTCCCCAGCTGTGGATAAGTAGAAACAATCTGATTAAACACATATATTTCAAGTGCAGTAGAAAAAAGTATTGGGTTTGATGACAAAGCTTAACTGAACAAAATGATCGGTGCTGTGTTAATATTAAATTTGGCCTCTGTATTGGGTCTGTATTAATAGCTCAGTGATGCAGTGGATTAATAAAATCATCATTTCAAGTTGTCAATTCTATGTAAAATATTGAAAGAAATAATGGATATTAAATGAAATAACTTTGTTTGTACTTCTATATTTAACATCACACTTCACATGTAATAATACTTAACTAGTTGAACTACTGAAAACATTATGCCGTGTTCTAATTTACAATGTGCTTTATGTTGATTTATTCATAAATGAGAAAAAGACTTGGTCAATAGAATATAAACCACATTAATGTTTCTTCTCACAACTTAAGGAAAAATGACAATGTGCATAAATGTATAGCCATACTGCTGTGTTCTGACTATTCTACACTCACCCCATCATGTATATTGGCATCCGCCCCGTGTTGGAGGAGAAGCTGGACACATTGTGTGTGGCCGTGATCTGCAGCCAAGTGAAGTGGTGTCTTCCCCAGCTGTGGATAAGTAGAAACAATCTGATTAAACACATATATTTCAAGTGCAGTAGAAATATATATATATATATATATATATATATATATATATATATATATATATATATATATATATATATATTGATGGGTGCCGTGTTAACTATAAGTTTGGTTCTGTATAGGGGCTGCATTAACAGCCCTTTGTTGATACGGGTATGTACAACGCTGTGATTGTTATAACACTGTACCATAGTGGTTTGTATGGAAACGAAATATTATAGGAACGTGCCAACGCCAAAGCAGATCGTTTATTTCATATGTGCACGTGGTAAATGTATAAAAACATGTTACATGTATGGGATTCTTGTTAAACATATTATATCGTTTACATTGGTATATGCCTAGCCTATCACATAGAAAACCTTGTGTAGCGGAAAGAGGGAAGGGAAAGTGAAATGATGCAGTGGATGATTCAGTCTATGGCATGGGTCGTCTGGATTAAATAAATCATTTACAACGTGCAGCGTTAAATTCTATTAAAATTTAACTGTATGTAAATGTAGCCATACTGCTGTGTTCTGACAATTCTACACTCACCCCTTTCTGTATATTGGCATCCGCCCCGTGTTGGAGGAGAAGCTGGACACATTGTGTGTGGCCGCAGCGTGCAGCAATGTGAAGTGGTGTCATCTCAAACTGTGGATAAGTAGAAACAATCTGATTAAACACATATATTTCAAGTGCAGTAGAAAAGAGTATTGGGTTTGATGACAAAGCTTAACTGAACAAAATGATCGGTGCTATGTTAATATTAAATTTGGCATCTGTATTGAGCCTGTATTTACAGCTCAGTGAGGCAGTGGATTGATAAATCATCACTTTAGTTTGTCTATTCTGTGTAAAAATATTGAAAGAAATAATGGATTTTTAATGAAATAACTTTATTTGTACTTCTATATTTAACATCACACTTCACATGTAATAATACTTAACTAGTTGAACTACTGAAAACATTATGCCCTGTTCTATTTTACAATGTACTTTATGTTGATTTATTCATAAATGAGAGAAGACTTGGTCAATAGAATATAAACCACATTAATGTTTCTTCTCACAACTTAAGGAAAAATGACAATGTGCATAAATGTATAGCCGTACTGCTGTGTTCTGACTATTCTACACTCACCTCATCCTGTATACTGGTATCCGCCCCGTGTTGGAGGAGAAGCTGGACACATTGCGTGTGGCCGTTAACTGCAGCCAAGTGAAGTGGTGTCTCCCTTAGCTGTGGATAAGTAGAAACAATCTGATTAAACACATATATTTCAAGTGCAGTAGAAAAGTGTATTGGGTTTGATGACAAAGCTTAACTGAACAAAATGATCGGTGCTGTGTTAATATTAAATTTGGCCTCTGTATTGGGTCTGTATTAATAGCTCAGTGATGCAGTGGATTAATAAAATCATCATTTCCAGTTGTCAATTCTATGTAAAATATTGAAAGAAGTAATGGATATTAAATGAAATAACTTTGTTTGTACTTCTATATTTAACAGCTTAAGGAAAAAGGAAGATGTACGTAAATGTTGCCATACTGCTGTGTTCTGACTATTCTACACTCACCATATCCTGTATATTGGCATCCGCCTCGTGTTGGAGGAGAAGCTGGACACATTGTGTGTGGCCACAGTCTGCAGCACGGTGAAGTGGTGTCATCTCACACTGTGGATAAGTAGAAACAATCTGATTAAACACATATATTTCAAGTGCAGTAGAAAAGAGTATTGGGTTTGATGACAAAGCTTAACTGAACAAAATGATCGGTGCTGTGTTAATATTAAATTTGGCCTCTGTATTGGGTCTGTATTAATAGCTCAGTGATGCAGTGGATTAATAAAATCATCATTTCAAGTTGTCAATTCTATGTAAAATATTGAAAGAAATAATGGATATTAAATGAAATAACTTTATTTGTACTTCTATATTTAACATCACACTTCACATGTAATAATACTTAACTAGTTGAACTACTGAAAACATTATGCCGTGTTCTATTTTACGATGTGCTTTATGTTGATTTATTCATATAGAATATAAACCACAATAATGTTTCTTCTCACAACTTAAGGGAAAATGACAATGTGCATAAATGTGGCCATACTGCTGTGTTCTGACTATTCTACACTCACACTATCCTGTATACTGGTATTCGCCCCGTGTTGGAGGAGAAGCTGGACACATTGCGTGTGGCCGTTAACTGCAGCCAAGTGAAGTGGTGTCTTCCTTAGCTGTGGATAAGTAGAAACAATCTGATTAAACACATATATTTCAAGTGCAGTAGAAATATATATATATATATATATATATATATATATATATATATATATATATATATATATATATATATATATTGATGGGTGCCGTGTTAACTATAAGTTTGGTTCTGTATAGGGGCTGCATTAACAGCCCTTTGTTGATACGGGTATGTACAACGCTGTGATTGTTATAACACTGTACCATAGTGGTTTGTATGGAAACAACATATAATAGGAAGATGCCAACGCAAAAGCAGATCGTTTATTTCATATGTGCACGTGGTAAATATATAAAACGTCTGTTACAGGTATGGGATTCGTGTTGAACTTATTATATCGTTTACATTGGTATATGCCCAGCCTATCACATAGAAAACCTCGAGTAGCGGAAAGAGGGAAGGAAAAGTAAAATGATGCAGTGGATGATTCAGTCTATGGCATGAGTCGTCTGGATTAAATAAATCGTTATTTCTTACGTGAAGCGATAAATTCCATTAAAAATATCGACAACGGCGTAAGTAAAGAGAGAGAAATCAAAGTTGTTACCCAGTCCTGGCCATTGATATTGCACTGTCCGGCAGTCAGCAGATGCTGTAACCTCGCTATACCTCCAACCTTAGCAGCCGAATGAAGCTCTGTGTCCTGCATACTGGCTGGTGGCTACACTGTACACATTCCAACGAAGAGTGCGACGTACGTACTAGTATGTCTAAATTTCACTCGTCTGAAATAAGATGGATAAGCATCACAAGTTGAAATATATAAAGAGATGAAACGTGCAATGCGAACTGGCTTAATATTAAAAGACCCATGTATGATAAAAAGATGCAGCTTGGAACAGAGACACCACCGTAACATAAACTATACAAAAATGTACAATTGCTTTTACATATCACATCCATCTGTGGTCTTAATCCCGCTCCTATCTGACGTGACCCCCCCTCCCCCCACACACACACTCGAAGAAATGTTCTATGCAGCGTAAATGGCGCTATTAAGGGTCCTATTGGTGTTGTCGTTAAATCATTCTTGTCAAATGATCCCTTAGGCTGCATTTCCATAGATTTAGATCGATCCATCTGGATCGACCTAACTCCTTGTTCACGCTAAATTGCTGTCAGCCAGGCGCGCACGGTAGATAATTACCCCCTTACAGCTTTTAGTAGGCGGGACAGACATTTAAGCCGACTAAGCTGACAGTAATCTATTGAGAATCCCCATAGGAATAGATCGATCTAAAATCTGTGGGAATGGGGCCTTCGACTTGTTCATTTTGGAAATCGTCACGTAAAATGCATTCAAGAGGAAAGTAAGTAATATCAAAATTACCCACGGATATCTTTACTGACAAACAATTTCATCAATTATGTCATGACAGAGGAAGGAACATTGTACCGAAATATTAACATCGATTTGTCACCCCAGTGGCAACGAGGTATTTGTCATTCGTTTATATTTATTTGGTAGATAAATCACATTTTAATAAAATACCTGGTTAACTTACCAGTTGGAAACAGCCCGCACAAATGGCGACTTTCTATAATTAGAGGTGAGGAGAGGGGATTTTAAAGGGAATTCCCCTTAATTGCTATTGATGTGTTTGTCTCAACACGTGCAATACGTTTTTGGTCAATCAAACAAGATCATGTATGTGACAGAGATAAATCTGATTGAGACAGGTGCAAATTGTTATACACAGTCTGGGTATATACTGTACTTAAATCAGGATAACGATACAATAGCGTACGTAGTTGGCGGGGGGAGGGGGGGCACGACGGCCGGGTTGCATGTGACCTACATGTACACAAAATACACTGTACCTACAGGGGTACAACTTGTATGAAACCCCTTTGCCTCTCTTATACAATAGGAACATTTATTTTAACAAGCGGTATAAACAGCGCATAACAAATGAAAATATTTTTCTTTTTCTGTGCATGACCTATATTTCATAATAAAAGTTACCTTGTCTACTTCATGTATGTATTTGCCAAGCGCAGCAAAGTGAAACATACGTGTATATATATTTTCCTCCTTGAGAAAAACAATATATTTTGAAAATAAGCCCGGTCAAGCTGACTTTGTGTAAACAACAAAACATCCCTTTGCCTTTTCAATTCGTCAATTATGTAATCCTCTCCAAGTTTGAATCAATCACTAGTGACCCTATAGCTATACACCTTAGCGCTAGCGTTTACATGACTTCACAATGAGAAGTGGGAGGAGAGACACTACACAAACGCACACACACACACCTACACAAACGCACACACACACACACACATACACATCATTCCTATCAGTGCAAATAATCATTCAAATCATTTTAAACTGGATTTTTATTTTTTTAGCGGGACAACACATTCAGGTACAAACCGAAACCGAAACGTCAAATTTCCCAGCTCGCTCTTTACGCGTAAACACTGCAATTTACATGTTGTAATTCGCAGTTTTTTACCGAAATGTCAACAACCCTATTACATCTTAGTTACGACTAGTTGTATGTCACCCGTTGACACTGATGTGGTCGACATCACACCTCAAAATTTGATAAAATATCACGTTAACTTACCAGCTGGAAACGACCTGCACAATGGCGACTCGGCTACAGGTATTATTAATAGAGGTGACGAGGGTTTTTTTGGGGGAATTCCCCTTTTATTGCTGTTGATGTACGACGCAACTGTCTCAACAAACGCAATGTGTGGTTGTTAGCGGTTTACTGTAGAAAATGTCATATTATCTGCCAAAGAAATAGGGTTGTATTTTATTTCTATGTATTCTTATACGTCAATAATCTAGACTTACACCATATCTAACATATCGTTTGGACGATACCTTGGAGGAACAAGGGGGAACAATGCAC